TATGGGACGCTGCCACAGCATGGCCTGACAAGCGCTGTCTCTCTGTGCGCCTGGGATCTGAACCTGTGAACCCCCCGGCCGCTGAAGCGGAGCACAAGAACTTAACTGCCTGCACCACCAGGCCGGCCCCTGCACCTCCTACTTTAGAATTAGAGATGGTACTTGCTCGTTCATATTTTCTGAATGAATTAATTATAATAAAAGTTGAGTTTTTACTAAATACTACTACTTTACTGCAGGTTTACAAAAATGGGGTATTTTGTGATGTGACCCTTAATCTAATAGGCTAATCAAAGTTCTGATATTTTTTGTTGTTTAAGAAAGTTAAGGACAAATGGCAAGCTCCTTCATTTAAGCAGTAAACATTGAGTGCCTATTACTGCCAGGCACTAAGTTTTCAAACATGAAGATCTAGTTAGTAACATTCGCTGGTAAATTTGTTTTCAACATTGATGATTTTTTGCCTACAGCTGATAACTGAAAACTAATGAAAGGTCTTCTCTGTGATTAACAGATATGATTGTTGATTACAACATCCCTGCATAAATTAATTCTTGTCAACTCCTTGGGATTTGAAGAGAAGATGCCTGGTGTCATACCTAGTGAGAGTAATGGGCTTTCAAGAGGAAGTCCCTCAAAGAAAAACAGACTTTCCTTGAAGTTTTTTCAGAAAAAGGAAACTAAGAGAGCCTTGGATTTCACAGATTCTCAAGAAAATGAAGAAAAAGCTTCTGAATATAGAGGATCTGAAATGTATGTATCTAACTTTATTTCTGTACGTTTTAGACTCCACATCAGTCAAGAAACGGTGGACTTGGATTGGTATCTCTAGACACTGACCTGATAGTCCACAGAGACAAGGAGAGAGCACACGCTAGTGTGACCGGTCTAGCAGTGTGCAGCAGCAACAGAACAGAAGCAGAACTGTGCTTCCCCACGGGCATCTCACCCATGACGTGAACTCAGTTCCATTGGGCTCAGCCAGTTAGACTAACCTGGAGAAATATTTATTGACTAGAGTTACTTTTCAGTTTAAACTTGATTGTAGTGCAACACATTTTGTGTAAGGGTGAAGAAATAGGTGATGTTTTTTGGTTCAGAAGACTTGACAGTTACCTGAGATGTTTAAGCTTTGTAGTCATACTTAGTATATGAATTAGCAGACCTGTTGGGGTGTACAATTGCAAATTATATTTAAAATAAAAATAAGAAATGCTTTTGATGCAAATAAATCCTTCGGTGACTGAAAAGAAGTCAGAACCAAACGGAGTTCTTTATGCCACCCATAGTTGGGTCTCTTTGGAGTTTCCACTAGCTGCCTGTTCAGCAGATAGGCACTCTGCTGTGCAACTCAAGTGGATGAGGTCCCACGTGTAATCTCCTAATATTTACCAGTAGTCAGTTTAGGAGATGGTGTGTGAGCCTTTCGCTGACCCGCATTCATGCCTGTAAACACTTGGAGGTGCTGGCGTAATATCTAGCAGCTGTAAAATAAATAAAAATGCTGTGAGGACCTGCTGTTTGTTCAAGTGAGGTAAAAGGATTGTAAACGTGAACAATTCATTTTTGAGGGACAGCTGTATAATTCTCTTCATAGACTCTCTTTCCTCTTAACCTTTTATTAACAGAATCTGACTTAGTGCAGCCTCTCCCAGATATTGTCAGTCAGGTTATTTCCAGGTTTCTATTCAGAGTTAACTACTTAATTAAAATGTCTTGTTGGCTTTACAAATCACAATACCAGTTCTTCAATTTTCTGCTCTCTAAAATGGGATTAGCAGCCTCTTGATGGAATTGTTTTGAGGCTTGTTGAGTGTAATAATGTTTTTAAAGTGCTTGTAAAACTTCTGTTCTGGGTGTATAGCAATTTTTGTACCTGTACAGATTTCTTAAAATGTCATCTGAATAAAATCCATATACTTTTCAGATCATATAACTTTTGGGAAAAGACAAAATCTAAGGAAGTAATATTTCCATTTTGTTTCTTTAAATATTACTTCATTATATCTCTCTCCCCTCTATACTTAATAGTGATCAAGTTGTTCCTGCAGCACAGTCCTCACCTATAAACTGTGAGAAGAGGGAGAACTTGTTACCATTTGTGGGACTGAATAATCTCGGCAATACTTGTTATCTTAATAGTATACTTCAGGTAAATTGACAATTTTCCTATATAATGAAACTTGAGTAGGCGAAGAATGATGTAACATTTAGTGTTTCTGAGAATTTCAGATTATTGGAGGATTTTAATTGTCCATACTGCCTTTGCCTTTGTAAGTAAACCAGAATGGGCTAAAATAATGATTCTAAGTTGCATGTTAAAACTTCCTTTGGGGTAAAAGAAAGTAATATATTAAATAAAATTGGGATAGCAAAATTGAGTAGATCTTGGTTAAGTGGAAAATGCCAAACCTTTAGTTTTTCTGCCCAATTCCTGGTGTCCTGGTGATATGTCTTTAAACCCTTGGAACTATATCTGTTTTATGTTGTACCCTTATAACCATAAGTCTTAGCAGTGTCTGCTCAGGCTTAGTGCTATGCTGCCAGTGAGGGAAGACTGAGCAACTATGATGAAATAGAGGACAATTTTTGACACCAATCTTAATCTCAGAATTTTAAGTGATGCACATTTAAAAGTGCTTTACAAAAAGCATGATAGTGTTTTAATGATTTTAGGTATATTGTTGTTTGTTCAGTAAACACTCAGTCTCACTTTTTATAGGTATTATATTTTTGTCCGGGTTTTAAATCTGGAGTGAAGCACTTATTTAATATTATTTCAAGGAAGAAAGAAGCCCTAAAAGATGAAGCCAATCAAAAAGATAAGGTAAAAAATAAAAGAACAGAAAATAATATAAAAAGTAAGTTAATAGAAATTCACTTGCTTAGAAATGAAAAAGTAATAGATACACAGGATTTGGGAGGAGGATGACAAAGTTTATTTCTCTGTTAACCAACTATAACTGAGAATTGAATTTCTCAGTATCTTATGTTGTCAGGCAGTTATTTTTCATTCTTGCAAGGTAGCTAACTGTATTATCCCCATTTACAGTGTGTCTTCTCCAGTCCTCCAGTATATTGTTGGCCAGTCAACACTGTCATTTGTATACCACCATCACAATTTATCATACCTTTCTATCATCTGTTCTTTATCTATTGTTTTCAAATTGACTCTTTTAAAATAACGTTAAATGTCAGGAAACCTTTGACTTACGTAATTAGAAAACCATTATCATCCACATAATAGAAAGTAATCAAAAAATACTCTTATTAAATGTTTTAAAAAGTTTATTGGTACATCTCCACAAAATTAGCGTTATAATAAAATTAAATTTAGAAAATCTAGTATTTGTCTAGTGAGACAAAGACAAGAAGGTGGAAGACAAACCCATTAATTTCATAAATAAAGATATTGGTTGTGTGTTTTTTATTTCTTAACAGGGAAATTGCAAAGAAGATTCTTTGGCAAGTTATGAACTAATATGCAGTTTACAGTCCTTGATCATTTCAGTTGAACAGCTTCAGGCTAGTTTTCTCTTAAATCCAGAGAAATATACTGATGAACTTGCTACTCAGCCAAGGCGACTGCTTAACACACTCAGGTATAGCCTCTAATACAGTTTCAGGATTCTAGCTTAGCTACTTATTGCTCTCTTTGGAGGAGAGTGAATGTGAACAAATGAGGATAAAGGGCAAGGAAGATGGAAACTACAGAGCTACAGTCCTTAATAGCCCCGAGGCTCCAAAAACGAGACAGTTTCATCCGTTTGGTACTAAATTCAATAAATCTGAATTTGTATGAGGCTATTTATAGTCTTTATTCCTATTTATCTGTAATGTGAATATTCATATGCTTTTCTATAGAAATTGAAGTGTGTTTAATTATGAGATACTGCCCCATATCATGTTGGTGACAAATATTTATGTGCCATATTGAAAATTTCTGAATTCCTAAACACATTTGGGCCTAAGGATTTCCGATTGGGAATCATAGGTCTATATTCAAAATATATTATGCATAAAAAATGTAAATTCCAAATATTCTATTTTTGTTGTATGTGCTTAGAAGATAACTTAGTTAACTGGATTGGATTTCTTTGTAGTATTGTCTTTAAAAAATGAAACTTTATCCTATGTATAAAATAGCCTTATCCAAAATATTATAGGGTAAGTCTTTAAAAAATTATGTAATCATTTAGTTTAGGAATGACCCAGATGTAATACATTGCTATATGTTTGTTAAGAAGCAGTTGAGCGTAGTGGCCAAGAGCAGGTTTGAACCCTGGCTTTGCATCTCTGTGACCTTGGGCAAGTTACCTGACCTGTAAATAGTGGCGATAACAGTACTTACCTCATAGGGTTATTGTGAGAATTATGTTATACATAGATTATAAAAAGCATTTTGAATAAAACCTGGTACATGGTAAACACTGTATATGTAATTAGCTGATAGTAACAATAATATATTTACAAGAGGATGAAAGTCTTTGTGATAGTGAAAATGAGGTAAAATTTATTTTTACTTTTTGTTACAAGTTTAGGTAAGAAGTTTCAAATTAGCTGAATAAATGTTTTTAAATTAGCTGAATAAATGTTTTTAGATTTTTAAAATAATTTGATATCCCTGTAAATGAATTCATTTATATATAGAAAGTTTTTGTATTATATCTTCAAAACTACAATACATGAAATGGGAATTTTTATTTATAGGGAACTCAACCCTATGTATGAAGGATATCTACAGCATGATGCACAGGAAGTATTACAGTGTATTTTGGGAAACATTCAAGAAACATGCCAGCTTCTAAAAAAAGAAGAAGTAAAAAATGTGGCAGAATTATCTACTAAGGTAGAAGAAAAACCTCATCAGAAAGAGGAAATGAATGGTATTAACAGCATAGAGATGGACAACATGAGGCATTCTGATGACCGTAAAGAAAAACTCCCAAAAGGAAATGGGAAAAGAAAAAGTGACATGGAATTTGGTAACCTGAAGAAAAAAGTTAAAGTATCCAAGGAACACCAGTCATTAGAAGAGAACCAGAGACAAACCAGATCAAAAAGAAAAGCTACAGGTGATATGTTAGAGATTCCTCCTAAAATGATCCCCAAGTACGTTTCTGAAAGTGAGAGTACAAGGTCCTCACAGAAGAAATCAAGAGTTAAAATAAATTGGTTAAAGCCTGCAACTAAGCAACCTAGCATTCTTTCTAAATTCTGTAGTCTGGGGAAAATAACAACAAACCAAGGATCCAAAGAACAATCTAAAGAAAATGAATATCTTGAAGAGGACTTGGGGAAGGGTGAAAATGATAACACAACTAATGGTTGTGGACTTGAATCTCCAGAGAATGATGTTAAGTCCGTTAATGTTAATGAAGTTAAGCCCATAAATAAAGGTCAGTATAATTTATTCTTAGACATTGATAGGTGGGAGGATTAACAGCTCTAGAACTGGAATTTTCTCTTAGATACATCTACAATATAAATCTGGTAAAGTTTTGTTTAAGAGGAAATTAACACTGAGTGTCAACTATGGTGTTTCAAGCTATGTGCTTAGATGAATTTTGTGTGTGTGTGTATAAATCTCATTAATCTTAAGGTAATGTTTTATGGTTTATAAACTATGGGAGTTCAGTACATTTTAATGGAAACAGAATGAATATTTTACCCCCTTAACATATGCAGTATTTGACATAAACTCATAAAAGAAATTTCATTTAGTGAAATGCAGTTTTAAAGCAGAGAAGTAGTTATACCTGAATTGGATTTCTATCCAGTTTTGTCCACATCTACAGATCTCAGGGAAGACGTGTAGTATTGACGTGGTTAATGGTTTTACCAAAAGTATCCTTAATTTGGGGTTATTCTTTAGGGATTGTCTTTGGGAAGGGAGTTAAGACACAACTGTGACTCTCTTCTTTTTTTAGAGACAACAGTAATTCATACTCAGAACTGTCTTTACAGGGAATTTATACTTCGTGAATAAGGCATCTCTTAATAAGCAAGTTGAGATACGAAAATCAGCCTTTTATTCATGATATACTTTATTTTTTATTTTTTTAAAGATTTTTATTTATTCTTTCCTCCCCAAAGCCCCAGTAGATAGTTGTATGTCACAGCTGCACATCCTTCTACTTGCTGTATGTGGGACATGGCCTCAGCATGGCCGGAGAAGCGGTGCGTCGGTGCGCGCCTGGGATCCGAACCCGGGCCGCCAGCAGCGGAGCGAGAGCATTTAACTGCTAAGCCACGGGGCTGGCCCACATGCTATACTTTAAAAGGAATATTGGTTATTTGGGCTATGCTGAGAAACTAATCTTTATAGACTTACATTTTCCTTTTTTTGTTTTAGGCACAGAGCAAATTGGTTTTGAGCTAGTAGAGAAATTATTTCAAGGTCAGCTGGTATTAAGGACTCGTTGCTTAGAATGTGAAAGTTTAACAGAAAGAAGAGAAGATTTTCAAGACATTAGTGTACCAGTACAAGAAGATGAGCTTTCCAAAGTAGAGGAGAGTTCTGAAAGTAAGCAAAATTGGCATCTTGTATGGACCATGGAGTAATTATTGTTTTCTTTGACAAAATAGTGGAGTCTAATAGTAGCTTGTATAATTATTGAGAAAAAAGCTGGCTTTTAGTGTCTTTGGTATAATAAAATCTTTCTCCTTATACACTTGTTAATAGTTAGCATTTGGAAAATTGTGGCATCTTTATTTTGATGTGTAGAGTATGTTACAATGGGAAAAGGAAATGCTTTAATAAGTTAAATTTTGAGAATCTGAATCTCAGAGCTACTGAGGGTTTTTTTGTTAATACAGTATTTGAGCCACTGTCTTGTCTAGTATAAACCACAAAAAGTATGGAAATGTCATGGGAAATGGTCATGAGACTGATTTACCTGTTTGGATATTGGCATTGGCTATTAAATATAAAGTCTGTCTTACACTGAGTCAGAGACTAGGTTGATCTTGATTTTGCTGTCCTTATCACCTAAGTATTTTTTTGGCTGACCAAATATAAATATTTAAAAGATATGTACGCTGTTGAGGATGAACTTATGAGATTTTTCTGAAACTAAAGGAAATCTCTTCATTTATTTGGGAAGGATTAGTCAATTGAAATTAAATGCTAATTTTGAACAAGGAACTCTGTGGTTTAATTTTTAAATGTCAGAGATTTTTATTTGTGAGTGAAAGGATTCTCTTCTGTAGTTTCTCCAGAGCCAAAAACAGAAATGAAGACTCTGAGATGGGCAATTTCACAGTTTGCTTCAGTGGAGAGAATTGTAGGAGAAGATAAATATTTTTGTGAAAATTGCCATCATTATACTGAAGCCGAACGAAGTCTTTTGTTTGACAAAATGCCTGAAGTCATAACTATTCATTTGAAGTGCTTTGCTGCTAGTGGCTTAGAGTGAGTATTATAAATAAAAGCTATATGAAGAAAATGAGCTGCTATATGTTTTGTTCAGAATACTTTAATAGTAACAAAATAGTATAATACAAACTATTGAAATGTATAAAAATTGCCTTAGAAAAGTTCTCTTACGATGTTTCCCTGTAAAAATGCATCAGTTTAAATCCTTTTGGTATGAATACATATTCTATGATTTCTTCACACATCTTCTCATTTTTGTTCCTTATTAGATAGAGGTTTTAGCTGAATTGATTAAAGCAGGGAACAGATTTTTGTATACATCAAGATTTTTTTTGAGGGGAGAAAAAGGCAAAATTATTTTAAGGTAAGCCAGGAAATCAAACTAGTCTTTGAACAACTTGAGAGATTCTTCTATAGTTGAAAATTGAAATATCTAAAAGCTATTAAAAAATGGTAAGTACAGAAATGCCAGTTACATTTTGGATAGTCTGACCTTTTCTGACATGTGTACATAATGTCATTGTAGATTTTATTCCTTTCTATAATAGTGAATTGTTTGAAATTACCATGAGGGCTTCCCAGTAGCTCTCCATACACCTTATTATGCCAGAAGATGCCATGTAGTCCTTTGTTTGCTACAATACTACCTTATTTATTTTTGTCTCCAAATCTTGGTAGAGACAGACTTCACATTAAAGTGAATTACTAAAATGTAAAGGATTTTGAAATTTAGTGTTTTTTAAATGCCATTTTATTTTTTTGCCATTTATTTTTTTAATGCACACAATTAGGAAAATAAAGGGAGGGGGAATGCCATGTATCTGTCATAGAAACACCTGAATATTAGCACTTTTTTCAATGTTTTCTTTGTGTAAATGTAAATATTACACAAAATTGGGGTCTTGTTTTTATTCTTTTGTGTTTATTATAAGTACTAAATATTAAGGGTTCATTCAGGCTTTTACTTGGTTTCACATTGGTTGTAAATATATAAAGTTGGAATCACAGAAAACTTTTTTTTTCTTCCAAAGGTTTGATTGTTATGGTGGTGGACTTTCCAAGATCAACACTCCTTTACTGACACCTCTTAAATTGTCACTAGAAGAATGGAGCACAAAGCCAACCAACGACAGCTATGGATTGTTTGCGGTTGTGATGCATAGTGGCATTACAATTAGCAGTGGGCATTACACTGCTTCTGTTAAAGTCACTGACCTTAACAGTTTAGAACTAGATAAGGGAAATTTTGTGGTCGACCAAATGTGTGAAATAGGTAAGCCAGAACCATCGAATGAGGAGGAAGCAAGGGGTGTGGTCGAAAATTATGCTGATGAAGAAGTGTCAACTAGAGTTGGTGGAAATACACAGCCAAGTAAAGTTTTGAACAAAAAAAATGTAGAAGCTATTGGACTTCTTGGAGGACAAAAGAGCAAAGCAGATTATGAGCTATACAACAAAGCATCTAATCCTGATAAAGCTGCCAGTACAGCATTTGCTGAAAATAGAAATTCTGAGACTAACAATACTAATGGGACCCATGAATCTGATAGAAACAAGGAATCTAGTGACCAAACAGGCATTAACATGAGTGGATTTGAGAACAGAATTTCATATGTAGTGCAAAGCTTAAAGGAGTATGAGGGGAAGTGGCTGCTTTTTGATGATTCCGAAGTGAAAGTCACTGAAGAGAAGGACTTTTTGAATTCTCTTTCCCCTTCTACATCTCCTACATCTACGCCTTACTTGCTATTTTATAAGAAATTATAGAGTGAGTGTATTTTCCTTGTGTATATATTAAACAGACATTGGTAAAGTTGATTACATTAAAGAGTCTTTAGCTTATCTTTTGAAGCCATTGTATATCATTGGTCTCTTTAGGTTTTTATAAAATAGTGAAATTTGAATTATCGAAAACCATGTTAATTTTTAGAATTCATTTTCCTCAGTAGAGACTAGTGATGCATTAGCTTCTGGGAACAAGCTTCTATAGGTTCTTAATTGAATTATCCAAAATGGAAGCATTTCAACACTTGAATTTACACCTATCTTTTGTGTTTGCTTTTTAAAATAAAGTGCTTGTATTTGTATCTCCATATTTTGGGGTAATCTACAAGATGTTTATAGGTCTTGTGGTTTTTTAGCTAGAAGCAGAATCTCATTTCAGTACATTTAGTTTTAACAAGTCCTGAAGCCACATCTTGGATGGGCTGTATTAGAGGCACAAGGTCTGGAATATGTGTATTCACAATGTTGAACATTTTGTGCCTTGAATCACTTTGAAGAGTCTCAGAAAACCTGGACAGTCAGTCCCCTTCTGTCTTCACAAGAATTTTATATGTATTTATGAAGATGATTCTGTACTCTAGTAAATCTTTTTAGGCATGGACTAATTTGTATCTCTTCATAGTCATACTCTGCACGATTTGTATATAGTACATCAAATTTAGAGGTATGACCTTAAATTTAACTTTTTTTAAAAACTGGGAGGTCAATAAAATTTAAACTGCTTAACTATGTATGCAAATGCTCGAACTTTTTTATTTGCATATTTTTATGATAAATATAGCTGGGTTCTCTTAATAGAATGTGTGTATGTCTAATATATATATATACACACACACATTATACATACACCTCCCTAGAAGAGAAAAAACATGCATAATTTCCTTTAATAATACTCAATATTTTCTGACAGTTGAAGGTGAAGAAATTTTCAGAGAGAAATTGTGCTTAGTCCACCCAAGTTGTCACGCTTAAAAGAAGTTTACAGTAAAAAGGGTCACATCCTGGTTGTCCTTTAAAGTAGACATATAACTGGAATCCAAAACTGGAGAACTTAGATGATGCTTTGGGCACACACAAAAATTTGGTTAAATTTTCATTTTAAATATAGTATATTACATTGGTAAATGATCAATTATCTTATGACTTGTTAAAAAGGACATCCTTGGTATTAAGAATATTAAAAATAATTCTAAAGAATATCTAAATGCTATTGAAATAACACTGTTATACCCCATTTTAACAAATAAAAGTACCTGTTAACTAATAAATTAGTTACACAGTTAAATAATGTCTTTCATTTTTCCACAAGGTAGTGTGACATAAAAAGTCATGGTTCTCACCTCTTTCTACATTCAGAATCACGAATGGAACTTTTAAAAAGAAACAGCCCTGAACACTACCCGTAAGCTTCTGATGGAGTAGTTCTAGGATGGAGCCTGGGCTTCTAATACTCAAGAGGCCATCAAGTTAACTACTAATATAGATTCCTGATAGGAGAAAGTTTTAAGAAAATTGAAGTATGTGGGAAGTTAGGAAGTGTTCAGTATCATCCAATGTTTTAAGAGTAAGAGCCTCTTCTGACTCAAGTCAGAAGGTAATTAGTATTGCATGATAATTAAGTCATATAAACCTTAAAGTTCATGATATTGTCATTGAGATTTGTGTGAAACAATCCAAACTCTTAGATAAGTGTAACCTAATGAGAAATGACCTAGGGATTACTTACTATTCTCTTCCTCATGTCTACCTCCCCACTCCCCTCTCCCAAAGAGAAAAGAGTATAAATGTTACCTTTTTTTTGATTTAATGAGTTTCCATTCTTGACTCCTTGCCTTTCCTTATTGTTCAGCTGCATTCTCTGTCCCTTCAGTTCACCCTTTTTGGTCCAACACTGTAGACTCATCTGAAAAACTTGTTTGTGATTCAGTCTTTGAATAGATGTAGATAAGAGGAATTTGAGGTAATATTGCCTGTCATAGGTAGGCTGAAGGGGGGATGTCAGCCATCGCCTCTGCTCTCAGGAGAATCGGACATTCTTGAGATCTTGTTTTCAACATCAACTACAGAATGAAGGCACTGTATTGAATTTGATCAGTTCTTACGTGATTCATGTAACTGGTCAGTAGATCAAAGGGACAGATTATAAATGATGCCTTTCTGTAAGCTATAATACTACCCAAAGAAAAAGCATTGTTCAAAACACTTCCAGAAATCATTAATATGCAATTTCTCGGAAAAACTTCACAACTAATTGAAATATATTTTCAAAAACTTTTTTGCAATAGTTTTCATATAAAGTTATAAATTTTAAATTATTTTTTTTAATAATTTATTTTTTTCCCCCCCAAAGCCCCAGTAGATAGTTGTATGTCATAGCTGCACATCCTTCTAGTTGCTGTATGTGGGACGCGGCCTCAGCATGGGCGGAGAAGCGGTGCGTCAGTGCACGCCCGGGATCCGAACCCGGGCCGCCAGCAGCAGAGCACGTGCACTTCACCGCTAAGCCATGGGGCCGGCCCTTAAATTAGTTCTTAAAACAGCTAATTTCTTTTTAAGTGTACTTTGTAAAATCTATACAGATGTCAAAAAATAACTAAAACTTCTCATTCAACTAGTAGATTAAAACACCAGTTCAGTTTTTATGGTGATGTAAGATAGCTTTAAAGCAGATTTCTAATTTACCAGTTTAGATACCTAAAAAAACTGATGAAATGACTAGCTTGTTTAATTTGAAACATAGGAATCATTCATTTTAGTTGTTCAGAGTCGTGATGTTCATACTACCATCATTGGTGTACTAAGGTTGGAGTCAAAGATGAAGCTATTGTCACTGGTATTAGTTATCCCAGTATTTAATCATTTATAAACACAAGTTTTATCAGGTAAAGTTATTTCTGCAATTTATTCTAATTCTCTTTTTGGATGTTTAAATGAAAAATAGCTTAGAAACCAGTGTTAAGACTTCACAAACCAGTTAGTATATCTCACCCATTTAATTTATTCACTTATTTAATGTGGGCTCTTCTTTGGGCCCATAAAGTGACTGTCAATCTTGATTTTCATTTTGCTAGTTTTGGAACTAGTTCTGGAATCAACTCTAACTTATTGTCTGCCTTTTTCAATAAAGAAAAATTTTTGAAGTCTCAGTAAAATTAGTGTAAACATTCACATATTTAATAGTACCTTTAAAATAAGCATTACTACATTTAAAATGGTTCCAAGATGAATGTGTAAATGGTAATATAAATTAAAAAATACAAACTTAAAGTAAATAAATTTAACATTAGCCATGGTATAAATAATGGTAAATGTATAGTGTACCTTTGAGTCATTAAAATGTCTTAAAAAAAAGATAACAGCATATTACCAGAACATTAGAAACCATAGCCATGATTCTCAAAGTTCAGCAATCTACATTTGATATTGTTTTGGCCACTGCATTCTTCAATGAGTAAATTAATGCTATAACTTCCAGAATTAAGTCCCAAGTCTTATTTTTCAACAGATCTTAACCTTCTTTTTACACTCAATGGCTCTTTTCAAATGAATAAAACAAATGCGTTTATTTTAGAGATCCATTTTGCGCAGGCTCATTCGACTGAAGGAATCTCTGGGGAGAAAATGAAATGATAGAATTATAAAGTAAACAATTTTTACATACTCCTTTAAAATATGTTTTATGTACTTTTTTCAGCCAGAGTTATCTCGAAGTTTTGCCACCAAAAACTTAACTTTAAAACTGTTTCGCCACCAAAGTTCTTTTTTTTTTTTTTATAATTAACTTGTTATTTTTATTTATTTATTTTTTTGTGAGGAAGATCAGCCCTGAGCTAACATCCATGCTAATCCTCTTCTTTTTGAGGAGGATGGCCGGCTCGGAGCTAACATCTATTGCCAATCCTCCTCCTTTTTTTTCCCCCAAAGCCCCAGGAGACAGTTGTATGTCAGAGTTGCACATCCTTCTAGTTGCTGTATGTGGGACGCGGCCTCAGCATGGCCGGAGAAGCGGTGCATCGGTGCGCGCCCGGGATCCAAACCTGGGCCTTCAGTAGCAGAGCGTGTGCACTTAACCCCTAAGCCACAGGGCCGGCCCACCACCAAAGTTCTTATTAACTTTCAAGTTACATGCTCATCCTACACACTCTGCCCTATATATTCTGGCTTGTAGACTTCCCTATAGATTAAAAGTATATTACCATAAGCACTTTGCCAAGTCCATTGATCATTTATTCATTTGCCACTAGGTATATTTGATATTGTAATAAAACAGGAACTAAGGGATAATGGGACAGATTTCAGGAAAAGATTTATTTGGGGTTATTAAAAAGCAAAAGCCATGTATTTCTCTACTAAAATATTAAAGTCTAAGTCTTAAATCAGTGGTTCTCAAACTTTTGGGTTTTAGGTCCTTTTTACAGTCGTAAAAATTGAGGACCTCAGAAAGCTTTCGTTTACGTGGGTTATCTTGATATTTACCATACTAGAAATTAACACTAAAAATTTTAAATTATTTTACAAAATAACCCATTATATACTATAAATCATATTGTTCATTAAAAATAACTTGCAGGAATTTTAGAAGAGTTAAATATGAATAGAGGCACTCTTACATATTTAATGTCTGGCTTAACAAAAAGCTTAAATTCTCTTATCTGCTCCTGCAGATATCTTTTACAATATCACATCGCATGTAGTCTCCGGAAAACTCCACTGTACTCTCATGAGAGAATGAGAGTGAAAAAAGCGAGTAATATTTGGTATTAATATAAAATTTGTTTGGACTCAGGGACCCCCTCCCATGGGTCCCAGATCATACTTTGAGAACCACTATCTTAATAACTTATAAGCCTATTGCAAAATAATTAATATTCCAGATTTTGTAAATCAGCAAAATAAAAAATTCAAATTCTATAGAAATTTTATTTTCTAAGTTCTGAAGAAATTAAGAGTGAAACGGATAATATTCTTCAATCCCTCTTAGTGTACTTTCCTTTATCCTTAAGCTGGTTTCTTTCACTTATCCTTCCT